AAGGTCAGACCACGTCATAACCATCATTTATTTAACCCTCGCTCGAATAGCGTGTAATGAAAGAACTTGCAACAATGAACAGGCGCGATACACGCATGAAATATACATAGACGCCTCACCAACCGACTTATAAATGTGAACAAGGTTTCAGCCTCGGGTTGTTACCGTCACCAGCCATCTGAACGACTCAGTAACCTCATACTGGGGCCGCACTGGAGCCAGAAGGTCACTTTCTAACCTCCCGCAGGTCAGGTTTAATAGCCGTCCGAAGCTTGACCGCAAAGCAAGCAGGCGAGTCAGATAAGCAAAGCCTACGTACTCAGAGTGGCGCGTTGAAAACGTTGTGGGTAGCAAAACTGGCTGGAAACGGGCTGAGCACAGCCAACCGAACCTCACTGTGCATTTGCGCGGCAAGCAAAGCTCAGAAAAGGGCTGTGTTTTGTGTTCGCCGGGGCAGTTTGACTATAGCCAAATACCTGTTCGGATACCTGCCAGACCTACATGCGCTTAATGCCTATTACCGTTAGAGCAACTTCTGTGCTCCAAAGAAGAAGGGATGGAGCCTTGATGGTGCACCAGAGAGAAGCTTTCTCTTCTGCTTTTCTCCTTACATTTCTTCTCCCCACTTTTCCTCACGCCTAGCAAGGTCATAGAAACAGCCTCGACCTACTGCGTGGGGCGGAAAATGCAACAACGACCCCGGCCAAGCAAAAGTTATTTACCGGTCACGTAGGGAATCATATAAACTTCTTCGTTTTTAAATTGTCCCTGGGCTGATTTGACCTACACTGCAGCTTTTAAAATTGGACCTGACTTTTCAAATTGAATTTATAAAGTTGATCACTCCACGTCGGTTACTTGCTAACACCGCCAGCTCAGTCGTTATCGTTGGGATTGTTTCTTTACAATAAAGCCTAATCTTTTTAAAACTTAACGCAATTGTTCCTAACTTGCTCCAGGCTTACTTTAATTTGTCGTTGTCAATAGGAGCTAAATTCTGCTAAATTGAGCTTGAAATGGTGTAGTACGCCGCAACAACAATTGGCAAAGCCAGAGACGATGCCAGGTTTTACAGACAAAACTGCTCGGCGGGCTTAGCGGGGGAGGGCGATTAAGCCTACCCGGGTGGCTTCGCTAAAAGCCAGCCTCAGCGTAGAAGGCGGTAGCAGCGGCAGCAGCCGTGTCTTCACAGGGTCGCGGTTTGTCCGGAGCGGCATGCTGTCCGGAGCGGCATGCTGTCCGGAGCGGCATGCTCGCAGAGGCAGCAGCCGTGTCTTGACAGGGTCGCGGTGTGTCCGGAGCGGCACGCTCGCTGTCCTGGGAGGATCAGCGCCCGCTGCTCAGTCCATCGGCCCGAACCATGCGTCCGTCCCTGCGACCTGGCCCCGCCCTCTCGTTGCTGGAGACTCGGGCGACCGGCGAGGACGCCTCGGAGGAACCGGAGGAGGTGATCATGCCGAACGAATCGGTGGCGGCGGTGGCCTGACGCCGTCTGGTCTGAATGGCTGATGAGCTGTCCGGCCGCGGGCGCGGTGGTCAGCTCCTCGACCGATCGATCTCTGGCCAACGAACGCCGCGTCCGGCTCCGTTCGTAATTAACCCATCTAGGTGACCATACAAGTGCAGTTTTCTCCGGGGCTGAGATTATTTGCACGTTGAATGTGTCCTGATTCTTTCATCATTCCAATTTTCGGGGACGTCAATAAGAAAGTAAAATCATACCAATAGTTGCAAGTAAGCTTCTTACAAAATATCTCATGCTTGCCTCAATATCTTCAGATATGGAACATTCCCTTTAAGATCCAGTGCTATTGCGTGCTAGTGCTAGTGCTATACTATTGCGTCATATAGTTCGTGCTGATCCTGCCTGGTGTCTGCCCTAATGTGTCTTGATCCCGTCCGAACCCATCTCGCGTTCGCCCTTGGAATCCTCGATCTCAACTGTGTTTTCTCCGAATGCCATCTTAAGCCACTGCAGTCCTCCGCAACCCCCCTCAGTGCCTTCTGGTCCGAATCGGCCTCACTCTCTCGTTACGCTTACCTATTACGTCGATCCTGCCCGGCGACCGGAAGCCGGCTCCTTCCGGCGTGCGTGCCTCGCTGGCCGGCTGGTTCCAGCGGCGTTTTTCAGCCAAGCGTGAAGAGAGCGAGGACGACTTTGCCCAGTTCGCCTTCGACCCGGCCAGCTGCGTCGATGTAAGGCGGGCCACGGGAGGGGACGGTGGGGGGGGGGGGGGGATGGGGCTATGCCGGGGAGGGGGCAGGGGGCGGACCCGCTCAATATAGCCGGTCGGCAGTGGCCCGTGAATTCTCCTGCTCTGTGACGCCGGGGATGTTAGCGTTGTTGCCGCTAGACGGGCTCCAAGGCGCACCGCGTGGCGAGGTGAGACGGGACAGAGCGACGGGCAGAGCCCGGTATGTAGCTGAAAAAAACGAGAGACAAGCTAAATCGTGACTAAGCAACTGGCTAGTTCTCTGGGTGAGGAACACAAGCGCTGCGCCAACTGAACACGCCGACCAAGCGATGAAGGGAAATAAACTCCTAGATGTAAGAGCTTTAGCCGGGGAATTAACCTGGTAGAGAGGGAAAGGGGCCAAAAGGCATTCAGTGAGTGTAAGAGTCAAAAAGGGGTGAAGTATTTGAGAAATGACGCCACCATCGCCCTCGCCGACCACACATCCTGACCACATTCCTCGTGCGCAGCCAGAAGCCGTGCTGCGCAGTGCCTTCCGGGAGAAGGAACGGCAGAAAACCCTGATCCCGACCCCGCGCCCGTCCGCCGCAGGCCGACCGGCGCTGCCCGTCGCCAGCGACGCGGAGGTAATCACCGGGCGGCGTCGGCACGGACGGGGCGGCGGCGGCGGCGGCGCGGTCACCCCATGCCGACGGCGCCACCCGGTCCTTTGTCGTCGTGATGGATCCGTTCCTTGTATGACCGCCGCCGATGGGGACAGCGGCCTCGTCGCGACGCCGCGCCTTCGCGCAGTCGACGCGCTGCTGACTCGAGCTTAGTCTGGGGTCGAGTGCCTTTGTGACGCGACGACAGATCCGTGCCATGTCTGGGGCTCTGTTCTAGGGTAGCTCATTCGGTGCTCTGTGGCCTGAGTTGTGCGACTGTGCGTGTTGCAAGTTGTGGAGCGTGGTTGGTTGTGTGGGGACTCGGTTACCGTATGTTCGGCGTCCGGTGTACCGCTGCAACAAGTGAGGTGTTGGTCGGCACCACGTCATTATATACGTGATCCTACGCCTGTGCCGTGCCATATTTTCTGCCTGACAGCATGCGTATTTGTAGTCACATGTTGTGGACCTTTGGTGGCTTCAGGACCTTGTGCCGTAATTGGCTGGACTGTGTCACGCTCCCCTGAACTGTCATATTGGTGACCGCTGTTGAAACCCGATCCCCCGCCCTCAATCCCTGCCCTGCACGGTAGGACTGCGTTGTTTCAAACTGGGAAACGGGCTGAGTAATGGCATAGTCCTATCGATGGTGGCACAATCGCAGCCAAGCGATTATCACGCGGGAAATCACTTCCTCACATCATAGTGTCATCTAGGCTTCCTCACGCCACAGTGTCATCTAGGCTTCCTCACGTCACAGTGTCATCTAGGCTCCATGGATCTTAAGGTATGGTTTAAGCCTTGTGGGTTTAAAATGTTGATGTTGCGTAACCTGAGCCATCTTGAAAGTTGAAAATGGCGTCAGGACTAATTTGTTTCCAGGGGCACACTGCAACCGTCTGTATGCGATTTTATCAGCGAGTGTCTGAGGCATCAGGTGAAATAGGAGCAAAGCTACCGCTTTCATGCCTTAAATTGTTCCGTCGAGAAAACAGGTGGAAGCTGGCTGCAAGTCGTTTGGTTAATTATCGAGATCGCTTGAATTATGGCTGCACTAGTATACCTTGGTTAATACATTCGGCCCCTATCAGATTTCTGGCATTGATCCAGCATGCATGCGCTGGTGAATTATGCATAGCATTAGGCAAAGGTCAGTATGACTTCATTCCACGCCCATCTGCCTTCTTCTGCCTCTAAAATGGACGGAAACGGTTTCTGCTTCGTTGCCCTTGCTGGCCCAATGCGAGCGTGGAGGGCACACAAGGCGTGCAATTTGAGTTCTTTTCCGCTGCGCCGCCACCCACAAACCGCGCGGAGAGAGGCAGCATTTGATTTTCCGTCGGCTTGGTCGTTCTGGTGGCGGCTGGCGAAAGTCTCGCTTTGATTTGGGCGTGGCCGCGTCGCCGCCTGTTTTGCCCCGCCGCCCGGATCCATACCGCTTCTCCGCCACCGGCGGGCCGCCGTAGGGTCTGGAGCCTCTGCACGAGCGCGACGACGGCGACTGCGTCCGCTGCGGGCGCCGCGGCGAGGCCGGTGCGCGGGCCGGCCTGGCGTACCGCCAGCGTGGCCGACCGAGCCAACAGCTTTGTTGTCCAGCTACGCCTTCTCCCGCCCTGGGGACGCGCTATCGACCGTCGAAGGGCGCCGCGCCGCGCCGGCCCGGCCCGCTCCACCGCGGAGGTCGGCCGGGCGGCGACGGCGGCCGAGTCGGACGCGGCCGGCCGTCCGGCGGCGGCGCGGCCTTGACCGGGGCGGTGGCCAGCGTCGTCGCCTCGGCGGCTATGGCGGCGGGACACGACATACCACGACAGCGATGTGGTCCGGCTGGCGCCGCCAGTGGTGTGCCACCAGCGGCGGGGCACGAGCGGGCTGGCAGCGGTCGGCACCGGACGACCCAGGCATGGGGAGGACACGCTACCTGACGCTGGTGAAGTGCGGCGGACCATGGGCTGTCGAGGCCTCGTTGAGGCCCGGGGCTCCCGGTCGAAGTGTTGCACCGTTGACTGTCCTTAGATCGTATTTGTTTAACCTCCCACTGTGTGAGTGGGGACCGCATTTGCTTAATAGCGGTTGGATGTTCTGAAGCTCCGCGTGTATTTGCGCATGCTGCGCATTTGCTGCTTCAAAACGTCCTCGGGCTATGTGGGTGACTCCTTTCTTATTTGCGACATGTGTTCCTGTTTAAACAGGCACGCGTTTATATGCGTATTCCTCGAGGGCTTACGACTTCCATGCCTTTTCACATGCACGTTTTCATATAAACATGCCCTCGTTCCAAACTGCATCCACCTCAACGTGTCGGAGCGCAGAGATTCCTTCAATGCATTGGATCTAAACGGCCGTTGAAACTTAGTCACATGGCTCAATCTCAGTCTTACTCCTGTTGTTTTGGTAATTTCAGTGCTAATACGGTTATGTGCAAATAACGACAATAATCTAAGGAATAGCTGTATTCGTAGTGGGTGGTCCCATCTGGTCCAATATGGTCCCATCATTTTCATTGCATGGTCATTGTATGGTTTTCTTGGTATTTTCCATGTGGCCAGAAGGCCTAACAACCCTTTGATGAGCAGCACGTCCGCGGCATGTCTTATAACTCCCAGTGTAAACAAGTGGCCGATCATAGATGGCATCGCCATCGGGATGACATTTACAAGGGACTTCAGCACGTCCGCGGCATGTCTTATAACTCCCAGTGTAAACAAGTGGCCGATCATAGATGGCATCGCTATCGGGATGACATTTACAAGGGACTTAAGCCTGATAGAGGGATGAGGCTGGCACCAGTCGCTTTCTGTGAACATTGTCATTTCCCGCGTGCACAGATGCCATAGCTACGCCAGCAGTTCAGGTTCCGAACGGTTTGAGAATGTCTGGTGATAGACCGAGTACGCGCGGTTCGTTTGCGAGCGGCTGGTTTCGTAAAAGTTGATAAAAATTCCCGATTTGTCGTTGCAATTTCTAATGACACACGTCTCCCCTCGCTTTCCCTCTCCCCCTCCTTCGCCTCACTGGTTTTAAATGGTCACAGCTGAGGCAACGTACCTGCTCCTAAACGAACAAAAATATGTTTTTTTCTGTTTTTTTTTTATTCCGCTCCCTTCTCAACCCAAATTACCTGCAACTATCACTGATGAAACTGCCACCTGTGATCCGATCAGCCTCTCATACGACATGGGGGATATTAGACCAGCCAAGTACAAAATGCCTATCGAAGGTACTTCGGACATTGTCACTTCATGGAAATAACATAAAAAAGCTAAAAGAAATTGCATCGTTCGATGAGTTATGAAATTTTGCAAGCGCGCGAGCAGTATCTCGCGTAAAGTCACTTTAAGAAAACGTTTTGGGCATTTTGACGTCTTTAATTTCAGATGTTAGTAAAGGAAATGTGTGCAATGTGTGCAATGCTATGCAATGCCGTCAGTGCAACGGGAGCAGTCCATCCTGGTGGCTTAGTTGGTTAGAGCGCCTGCCTTCCGATCCACCCACCCGTGGCAGGGTAGATTCGAGTCGCTTCAAGCGCTAGCTATTTGCCCTTGACAGGTATGGCCTGCGGCTGGTGGCAGCGGTCGCGCTAAAGGCCAGCTGACGTCAGAGGGCAGGACGGACCGTGCCGAGCAATGCGGCACGTGAAGCTTTCGCCACCACATTTTGCCGTCGCCTGGAATTGCACAATCGGATGGTGGATGTCACTGCTCACACAACAAGAGGTTCTTAGCGTAATCTTTAATCCCAGAAATCCATTCATTCAAAGAGTTCGGATCATTTTTTTTTTAATGCAATACACACGACTTTTAAACTCAGTCTCTCAAGACGCATCGCATAGTGCGTTGACATTAATGGTTAAACACCAAACTTGACCGAAATGGTGAGTTACACTTTCATACAATATCTTCAAATATTCAAACTGTCATCGTAGCGGACCTACTGGCATGAATGTCAGCAGCACACCTATCGGCCGAGTAAGCGTGCTCTGAAGCCTCCGCTGGTGACCTTCTCAGCATCGGTGCCGGACCGTAGTACATTTCCAAAAAGCGTTACTCCCGTTGCGAGCCCTTGCTGCGGAGGTGGACGTCGTCGACCGTATCAACCGCTGGCCAGTTCGGCAGCGTGGTATTAACGTCCGGAGGGAGATCAATGCCATCCTTGTTAAGCGCTCACGGCCAGCTAAAAGCAGCAGCAGACGTCTTGCCTTGGTAACTATGGTAATTGTTCTACCGAAAATAGATCTCGTTTATTAAGTCACCCCAGGGAACATGGGGAATCCATCACAATTACATTTTGCGCACGCTGTATGCGGGAAGGCCTATGGGCTGTAATTATTATGTTTATGCTATTATGACAAATGGCATGGAGAGTACGAATGCAGGTATGGACATGCATGACACATGCATTATGTAATGGGGTAAAAGACCCGGCATATAACGATCTTTTATTCCGGACACGCAAAGGCTCCATCATGCTGACTGATGGTGGTAACCTCTCCTCGGTTCTGGTCATTCCGCTGGCATCGAAAAATAGCAGTGGCCATTTCGGGACAGTGAGAGAGAGGATTTAAGGCTAATTAGGCTTCCATGAGCGGGATCGATGAGCTATCTCGCGGCATGAAATATGAATGCGTGTGTAGGATTAGAATAGAACAGTAGTGGATCGGTAAATCTGTCAACGCAGCGGTAGAAATAAAACACAACGCTATGCTCCTTTTGGGTGCTGATCCGAGGCTTAAAGACCCGGATCATGACAACGATATATATATATATATATATATATATATATATATATATATATATATATATATCAGCACACCTAGCAGCAGCACACCTATCGGCCGAGAGAGAGAGAGAGAGAAAGAGAGAGAGAGAGAGAGAGAGAGAGAGAAGAGAGAGAGAGAGAGAGAGAGAGAGAGAGAGAGAGAGGGAGAGGGAGAGGGAGAGGGAGAGGGAGAGGGAGAGGGAGAGAGAGGGAGAGAGAGAGAGAGA